GTGGGCAACAAATACGATCAAAAAGCTTCGTAAAAATACCCTAAGTAGCATCTGGTTAGAAGCAATATCTTGCGGAAGCCTTTCGTCACAGAAAAGTCCTACATATTATAGGTCCCTTTCTTCCTGGTTCTGGTAGCACTAAATTGCAAGCGAATCGTTGGCAAAAGCTTAGATACAATCACAATGCGTGTTCAACGCATGCTGTGAAGTGTTTAGGAACATCAGTGAGTACATGACGGAAGCTAGCCTATGTTCAGACTGATAATTTAGTTCTGTGCATCTTGAAATCAGAGCAATAACGTATAATATCATTGCCTCACGAACAGAGATCAATTTGCGTTTTCCACAGGTCACCAGTTCTGCAAGAAGCAAGACCTAAGATGAGAGGAAGCTCTGAGATATCGTTGCAGCTAAGTAACTGGGCACTTTTCTGCACTATGCACGCTTTTGTAGCTCACTGACTGACCAAACGGTTTTTTCTACGCATATCATTGCTTTTATGAAGATTTATTTTAGCTCCTAAGTATCATAAAGTAGGACGTATCTGAATATTAAGCAAACACATCTGATTAGCAGTGTTTTAATGCGTTTATGTGGTGTTATCAGAGGCCGGAACCATACTGGATAAAAAGTGTTGATACTGATCGAGCAAAATTTCGTGCTAAACCTCCAGCAGACCGGCGCGTTTTCTACGACGAGCCGAACCCAGAAAAAGGCTGAGGCACGTCAAGTGTTGGGTAAAGAAACATTTAAAATATGAGCATTTACTTTAGAAAACCTTGATTCGTTCACTTCGGTCATCCAAGAATATCTGGTTTGGGGCGTTTGGGCTCGCCAGCCTTATTTTTTTATTATGAAATTTGAAGTCACCATGCAATTATTGGACGAATGGGGAAACACAAGACACGGCGACCCACAATTTTTTAGGCGCTACCCTAAACATATAAAGGCTGTCGAACCCCACGAAACTGAAATCAGCGTCGACTACTTCAGTTTGAATCTACTATTTTGATAACAAACTATAACTATTGGTCAATGAATATTACTTCCTAATTACCACATAAGCAAAATAATACTGTATGTCAATTAATACGCCTGTCTAGTGGTTGAAAACATAGGGCATGAAGTGTCGGACAACATAAGATATGCCTATAGAATGTAGGCAAATTAGCCTCAAAGCTATAATTGTTATAAAGAGTGTTCATCGCTACCACGACAAACGTATTTTAAGGTTATAAGGTTATGCAGTCAAGAGGCCAAATCTGTCGTATTGAGTAATATCTTTCACACTTTACGAACACATACCCGCGTTTGGGTTTTAATTTAATTCTGTTTGAAGACACAAAAGGCCACGATAAATCTTCAATCACGAGGATTCCCAGTCTAAAACAGGTACGAATATTTATATACGCTCACCTTGGGCACTTGTTTCCTAAACTAAAATCTGCCCATACAGTAAATCATCTACGAGAATATAGTATCTTGTTGTCCTCTAGAAAGCTTATTGCACCTTTGAGAGAAGGAGTCAATCTCTCGTGCAAAAAAAAATTTAATTTTATTGACTCATTCTTCACCTGCACGAACTGCAGAAATATTTTCTTTATTCAGATAATGTTATTTTTAGCCTTGTTACTGGCTATCGTTCAGAAGAGAACGTGGGAGCGCGGATTTCTTTGCGTTTGTTTACGACTTCTTTTGTCTTTACCAGGCCTTCTGTGCTTGAGCCTGCGACAGCAAGAAGTTTTCGACCAAACCCAATTCCGTTCCATTTCCGCCTCGTCACACTTTCACGGTATGAGAACCCGTTTTGCCAAGTTTTATTATGTTGCCTGAGACCAAGGCGAATTCTGTCTGCGCAGAGTTCCGCAATGCACACTCACTTCTCTGTTTTTCTGGGAGTTTACTGCCCCAATGGATGAGACCTGCTTTCCGTGTTTTGAAGAAGGTATACCCCAAACTGGACGCTTTCTTTGAACGCCGGGGTGCCGACAATGTCACACCGAGAATGCGATGTTTTCGCGACTGGTTCCAGAACGCTAAAGTCCCGTTCCTTTCGACGAAAATCCATCGAAATAAACTACATTAGGCCGTTTCCCTCTAACAAGGCCTACGGGAAAACAGCGGAACGACAGAAAGCAGGCATATACCACCCTGTTTAATGCTATAGCGGGTAAAAGTTGTAAATTAAACAATTATAGCATTTCCTAAGCAGCAAACAGTTAACGAAAGGAACCAGCTAGTCGAGTAACAGTCGGAACGGCACTAACAAAATAAACATCTCCATGAACCGTAGACCCTAGAAGAAAGTAGCTAAGAAATCGACGGAAACGTCGACAGCGGAAAAAGAAAACTTGCTACGTATTTCTTTTTGCTGTGCCAACATTGCGTGTTTCCTTCCCTATCATACCTGTAGCTTTAAGGGTACCGCTATCCGGCCAATTATCGTCTGTTTGTTTACTGTGGTATAACATCGAGTGTACCTTTGTGCCACATGACGCGGATTGAAATGCTTCAACAAGTAGCTTAATTTAAGAGTGGATTTTTAACGAAGCCCGCTATTTTTTTTCAAACGTATGGATAAATATTATCCCCCGTTGGCCATAGGGACCTCCGGCTTCAGACCGATCGTCCCAGTCAATGATCTAGATTTTTCTACACTGTCTCATTACTACATATCACATTTAACGGTGTGATAGCTTGTGCCTATGTTGTTAGATCTGCATCGCTATGACTCAAATAGTGACGTTTCGATAGCCCTTTTGAAATGTTATTTGGTCTAGTAAGAACAAATTAGTGCTATGTTGGTTACTGTTGCCTAAATAACAAAAAAAAAAAGCTGATTACATGCGCCATATTTTCGTGAGGAAAAGAAAATACGTGTGCTTTCGAGAAGGGCAGATCATTAGAAACATGGACGGTAGCCGTGAGTTGTCGTAACTGCGGCTGCCTCTGTCAAAACTGTGCAATCGCTTGAACACACGGCAAGTATACAGAGTCCCTACGAAAGCATGGAGAAGTTTCCTGGATGCCCTGCCTTCCTATCGCACTCTCGTGTTCCGCCTTGACAAGAATGAAGCTCCTGCCATCGAATGACCATGTAATCATGTCACACGGTCCTATTAGAACCTGGCGACAACACCAACATTAGAAAAAAATTAGTGCGACGCCGATACCATCTCTGATCAGAATGAAGAGGTACTCTCCCAGAGCACCGTGCTCTGTTGTGTTGCAGCGATGGTGGCCAGCAAGATCATCATCATCTATCATTCAAACGAACTGTTTTTGCTCGTGTTCTTATTAAATCTTAACGGATTAAGACGCAGCTGTGCAGTTTGTTTTTGTAGCTGTTTCCAACCGAACAGAAATGTTCTATCCATCCCTCGTTTTTTCATTGTCGTTAATTGTTTCTTCGTGTAACTCAATTTCGTTATACGCATACGAACCATATATAGCTTATATAAGAACAAATACGTAAGCATCGGTAATGAATATTGATTGAGATGCGAGGAGCGAAAGATAAATTTAGGCGTAATACAGCAGTGTTGATAGGGTAGTTTATACACGCAGCACTCCATCATGACGGATAAGTCGGGTTTATCCTGTCAAATGACTTGTCATACTATCCGGTACAGTTCTATCAATCGTATCAAATTGTTTTGGATTATTATACCAATATTCCTGCTTTTGAAACCCACACAGAAATTACAATAGCTGTTTTAGCCGTAGGCTCATTCCACTCATGCCCTTAAGCTTGAAAAATATATTCCATAGTAAAAGAAATGGGCCACTCACTATATTTCTGTTGTTTACAGTGCACGAACGCCGAAAAGGTATTTTTTTGCTGGTCCATGAAAAAGACACTCCCCGGCTCTCATCCCAAAACAAGCTATCCATTTGTTCTTTCCGAACGTACGTCATGGCATATACCCTTCGTTTTCCAGTGAGAACGAGTTATTTCTAACGAAACACGTGTTAAAATTAATCTTTCACTAACTCCAGATATACATGTTCGATTAAGCCTATTTGAATACCGTCAAACGGCTGAAAACAAGCAAGGATGAAAAAGAGGTAACCCTCAAAGGCAACAGCGAGTCTCATTCTAACACCACTGTCATATTCTTATTACCTCCCCTCAAGAGCTTGCAAGTACCGTCAAATCCGTTTGTCATCGGGTACGCTTTTCCCTTTCGATAACAGAAGACGAAAATAAATCAGGAAACATACCGCTAGTGCATATCTCGTGCCTCAATGCCTATCTTCTTTTCTTAAGCTTCTACAGCTTTACGAATTCTTTCGAAGAATTGGGTTGAACGGTACGTGACCGCGTTTTTTGAAAAAACGTTTTGTTTTATTTCACCCATCTCACTAATCAAAAACTCCCGGCTTGCCCAATCGATCCGTGATGCATTGAGAAAAAATTCGATTGAGTTTACCAATACGGTTTCACTTAAATAAAAATTGCGACAAGTCTTAACCTGATAGTTTGCCCTAGATGGCAACAATGGATCCTAGCATTTGCTAGTATCTTTCCGCTGATACTATTTAGTCGCGTCCTATAAGTAGGGGCTAACCTGAGCGGAAGTAATGACATTAAAGGATCATGGTGGTAAAACAGAATGAATATGTGAGTGCTTCCTACTGCCCACTTGTTGCAGATCGGGAAACTACGAAGTAGTAGCATCCAAATATACAAAACGACTTATGAAAAATTAGACGGTATGTAGAAATGTTTTTAAGTAGCGAAATAGGACGAATACGATAGCGTTGAAGTGGTATAAATATTAAAAATAACTTCGTTTATTCACAAATTTAGAAAAAAATTGCCAGTATAGTAAATCATTGCCACAAAAAGTTCTAGGTAAAGCTTACTTATGTTCAAATGCTACTATATATATATATATGGTTAGTAATGTAAACAATAGATAGCTGCTAGGTCGGATGCGGCTAAAACCATAGTAAAATACAGAAAACATAGTAGCCAGAGGGTATATTGTAAGTCTCCCACCAATAACCCAGTGTTCAAGGAATTCGTAGCAATAGGAGAAATCATCGAAGCCCAGAGACGTTAGGTCGAAGATAGGCGAAGTGAATGACCAAGCTGCAAGCGTCTGGCGAAGCGTTTGGCAGGCCGTATGAAAGGAGTCTCCTTGCGGCTAAAACTAACATGTCTTAGTTACTTGAGCCGTCAACAATGGATCAGACTTTGGGGAACTCTAACCGTCAGACAATGTGGGCGAACAGATCAAGTTTCAGACGGCTCAGGCAGAAGTCATGATCATATCTTGTCACCCTAGGAAAGCAGGTGGACATGGAGGCATTCAAGGAACTGTTTGAAAACTAAAGGCCAAGGGATTACGGCATCCACAATTGAAAATCGGTCGAAAGGCATGTTGAAGTATGCGCGCATGAGTTTCAGGAGCCAAGAGCAAAGATCCGGTTTGAACAAATAACATACATGCTGTAGCGCTTGAAAGACTGTGCTAGAGTGTCGAAGATAATTGCACAACGTCGCAGTAGCAAACCTCAGACGGCTGTTAATCGTATGTCAACGCACGCCTGAAGGACTAGCACTATATCGCACGTTGCTATGCATATATAAGCAGGACGGTTGAATGTTACGGTGCGTACCGGTACTATCTTTACTTCTAGGTATATCCGTCGCTGTCTCTATATAAAGTGCAAGGTGTGTAGCATTATATATATATACACAATCGTGTGTCCATCCAAACATCGCTCAAAGGAACTACAAGTTCCTTTAGAGGATATGTAGCAAACAATCTAGTCTTTGTTCACTATGGCCTGAAATTTAAATATTCCCTTGAGTTCTTTACGCCTATTGTGGAATTCTTTAAGACGGTGGCCTTGAAGAACCGAGTTGTGGGACGTATGATATTACATTGCCAGCCGGTATCAGGAAACAGGCACCACGAAAATATGCCAGGAAACAGAGCCATTGACTTTTTAAAAAAGAAAGAAAAGAGGCTCTCCCTAGTAGGTAGTTGGAGTGGCCCTGGCTTTCCATTAACTCTTGGTTTTCACGGCATTTGGGAATAGAATTTTACTACATTCCACCTACGGATCGCACCAGGTACCGTGCTAGGCCTACCATGAAAAAAGAAAATTTCTTCATGAGGCATTACATTTTCTTGCAGATTGCAGCTCAACCATCTACGCCTTGTAACTCGTACCGTGGTCGACCTGTGAGAAGAAAGTTTGCGCGGCCTGACAAGTCTCCATCCTCTCGTCATTATTGGTAAGCAGAACTGAGCAGATTCTTTTAGAGATTATTAAGCTCAGTGTGAGCTTTTTTGGGAAAAATTAGATTCAAAACTTAGCAGGCAAAAAATACCCTAGGCAAAAAACATATTGAAGCTAAATTGTTTTTCTGTAATTCAGGTAAAAGTAGTGGATTATTCTATTATACAAAATTAGTGTGGAGCCAACGAAGTGGCTACGGAATGAATATTGTTCAAAAAAGTATATGAATACGCATCCTGAGTCTTGGATATCTTTGAAAATTTTCTTATACGGATACTCTTGAGAAAAGCAAGTGGCGAACATAAAAAGCCCTCTTTTGAAAAGCCCCGATTCTTGAAAGAGAGCACTATTTGACGGTAGTAGTAATATTAGTCTTACGATCGCACGCACAACTACTAAGGCGATATTGAAAAATCAAGTGGGAACTGTTATTAATTAAACTATCTAACCTTCCAGGGGAACTTTATCGGCCCGCCATCTCAACTGGCTAATTATTTTATCTATAGCCAACGTTCTATGTGGGAGCTCACAGTTTCTTGAAAACAGACTTACCCGATCTCCAGTCTAATCTTTCTTGTTTGTTCCAATTGAGAAGGCATTCGACCGCCATATGGCTTCTGTAATACACTTGAATAAACCCAATTTTTCGTGAAGGAGGATTATCAGGTCCTTGACGCGTTTCCCCCATCGACTGAGATCTCAAAAACGAAGTATTCATTGAGTTTCTTAAAAATTATGCGTTTGAAATCCTCATCTCAGCCATTACATCTACTCAGGTATCTTACAACGATCCGTAGACATGTGTGAAAATTTTGTAACTTTCGGGATAAACATTTCAAAACTCAGCTTTTGAAAGATTGAAGTTTGAAGTATGCACAAATTTATTTTGTAATCCTGTTCCTTTTTTGGCTGTTTCTAACGCTCTGCGCTAAGCTCAATTACGCTCAATTTGACAATTACCTTTTTTTGCAAGAGTTTTTTAGTGATGCCGTAGCTGTGTTGCTTTTGATCACCAAAAATGATCTTACTTTGTTTCTATGTTAGAGACAAGGCTTCTAAGATGGTGAAAACATTTTGAACTAACAATGAAGTTGACAGTATCAATTCTAGGCAAGAGAGATGAAACACTCACCTTCAAATGCGTCCTTATGCTTATTTTAACACCAGTGCTTGGTCTCTGATGAGATATACAGCTTTCATTTTGAATAACTAACTTTTGAAGGACTGTCTAGTAATCAATCCTTCAATTAAGTTTGATTTCGAGAACTAAACACTTGAAATAATATTGTGGTCGTTCTTATATTATATATGTTAGCTATGCATAAGAAACAATTAGCGATTAAAGTGTTTGTTTATCTCCTTGAAGCAATCCGAGGAGTCTGTTTTCGTCGACATTTGTAGCAGCCATAAAATCATCATAGAATCAAACGATGCACCCTAAACCCTTACTTACTTTTCCGAGCTCGGCGTTTCCTTTCACTCTGTTCTAATGAAGTAAATGTCTCTGTCTGCCGGGACCATGTTTTTCGTGTTAAGTGCGACCTGAAGTAAGGTAAAAAAAAAATAGCCTTTTTATGCTTAAAATTTTCGTCAGACGCCCCCGTTTCCTGGCAGAAAGAAAAGTACATGTACTGCTACAATCGTTAGGGGCGCTTGCCCTAACAGTAGGTGTAGCAGCAAAAAAAACGATAAAAGCTGAACACAGATTCGATTCGCTGGATTTAGAAGCGTCTGTTATGGAACCAGGCGCAGCAATATCAGAGGCACAAGCTCTTCTTTTTAGCAGGGAACACGTCAATATTTACGTATAGATGCATACCTAAATTCCGCAGGTTGTTGTCAGAGTTAAAATGTTTTTTACGAAAGAAGGTAATGGAAGGGAAAGCATACATAGAAAGCGCACCACATAGCTACGCGCTGCTCTCTTAGCGGTTCTTTTAAAACCATTTACAGGCGTAACATTGAAAAATTTATTTCAAATGTGTTAATTAAATATTAAGTTTTTTCTATATTTCGCACCGAACGGCTAGCTGTCAGGACGCACTCTTCTTGGCGCATGATTTGTTTATTACCTCGATAAAGTTCTAATTCCGTCCAACGACTTTAATTACTATCGTTACGGCCCTCTGTGCGCGATTACTTCGTTCACCTTTACATATTACCGTATATGAATTTTATTTTGACCATTGTATTATAATTAAATCTTTCCCTTACTGGGTTCTAGAATTGTGGCAGATTAAATTTTCCATTTTGGTCGGGGGCACAAAAAGGATTTTGTTATTTTTTTATTACACAAATTTTACCATAGTGCATTCAGAGAGGAACAGAACTATGAGCAGGTAGTATTAATGCTAAATCAGCAGATGTTAGCAACCATATTTTTAGACACAACTTAAATACAGAATTGTTCCACTTTTGGTGGTCAAACGCAATGTTATCCGACCGCACCCTAAAGGGTATTCCTGAAGATTCTGGCCAAGTCATCTTGGTAACTACTATTTTGCTAATAAAGCATATATGTCCAACTGTATTTTAACTTACCTCAAAAGCATTTAACCAGACAACGCATTTTCTATATTTCCCAAGACTATTCCGGCACGTGACCAGCAGGGTTCTATACATATCCACATGTCACTTAAACAAGTAGCTGCAACTCTCTATGGTCTAAGATCTATACGATGATCTAAGTAAGCTTCTTCCCATGCTACTAGCTCTATCGGGAAAAAAAAAAGGATTCCCATGTAGATTTATCAGTAAGCCTTAGGCTCCAAAACCAGAGCTGCAAATAGGACAAAAATTAGGACAACGATCTTCTGTCTATTGTGCGACGAACCAGATGGCGAAGCAAAGGCCTATAGGCTGAACACCTTACTGCCTAACAGCGTTTTGTGAACCTTCTACGAAAATTCAAGTGACAGTAATTTTTTACTATTATTCGAACATATCGTCGGCTCTATTGACAAAGCCGTAGCCATTAAGCTATCGTTGCATGTTTGCCACGATATTAGCCCTACGAAGTTCAACTAAGAATAGAGGTATATGTGAAGTTGGGAAGGCTGGGCTTGTCTATTTATTCATGTTTTTTTTTTTTTTTTTTTACCAGTGGACTTCGAAGCTTCGGATGGCTCGTCATTTACAGGTGACATTAGGCACGGCCGGTTTTTATTGTCCACTGTGTGTATAAAAACGTCTGTGTTTATTTAGGGGAAGCAAAGGATTAATATAATATTCATGCCTGCATAGATAGATAGATATCTTTGAGAAAATCTAACATACGGAGAATTCGAGTCTGCCTACAACAATATTAAGCTAAACGTTTTAATTTCAGCCGAGTGATGCTATAATTATTATTGACATCTCGACCACCGAAAAACCTATTAACTGAAAACACTTTATTAGAAGGTACAGTTCTACAAAACTTGCAACACGTTCTCTAATTCGGTATGGAACAGCCGGCGCATTGAAACGCCACTAAGGTGTAGTATCGAATGCGGTTTCGATTCCTGCAACTAAATAACACCTTGAGTTGAAAATACGGTTTATTTAAATAATCGTAATATTTAGCGAGACTGTTTAAATAAATCGACGATACCAGGACCAGGTGCAACCGCCTAGATTGAGCTTGAACTTCCGTTGGTGAGTTTGACGTGTTTTAATGGTCGGATCATGCTTTTTATACCCGTATTAGCATTAACCTTTTCATGAAAGACTATAACGTTGAGATTGAAAAGTAAGTCTTTAGATTAATTTTACCAAACGACTACATCTGCTCTCGTTGCTATAGGCGACAGTCAGTCTTACACGATTCGCTATCCACCTCTGGATGGTCAATTTTGGATACGTGGCCGAAATAAGCGGTCCCCATGTTGTCTTAACTGGCCCCCAAACCTTGCTGATGTGTGTTTAGCAAACTCGAACGTCTGCTTCGTATTCGTCGACCTTACCCAGGCTTGGCCGCTAACTGAAGGATCTTTGGCCCACTTAGGGGCGATGTTTGGCCAGCTTGAGGTCATGTTGCGGACTTTCGACCTCATGAAAGGTCCTGGCGCGTCCCATAGCTCTTATGGCAGTCAGAGCTAATTTCTGCACGCGACACAGCTACATCTGTCTATTGTAAAGTGTACATGTTCGTGCCGTGCTGCACATGATGATGCATAGAGCATGATAATTTTTTTCCTCTACGCAATAACACAATATTACAATTGTCTTTTTTGCTTTCATTAGTAACGCGGCCTTAACGACTTACGTTGATGTCCATTAAGTGCTTCACTGATTTGATGGACAAACGTAGTTCTTCTAGTCTAGTGGCAATTCTCAATGACGCCGCCCTATTTCACTATAGATTCTCGCATCTGATTCTTGCACGCAGCCCTAGAGCTAAATATGTCATCAAGTGGACCTATTGAAGAGCGCTTACATGTATATCTGAACTTTTCTTCGGCATTGCCCTTCACATGATCCTAGTATCTATTACGTCTCATTCTCACAAGCAACAAGTTGATGAACAAGTTATCGACAGGGGTAATACGAGTCAGAAGTCTCTAGTGAACAAGCGAAGTTTGAAACAATTGCGTTCATTGACGCAACAAAAACTTCTGCGTTGAAAGACGTTCGAAAGCAATGACATGTTGAAGCTTTGTGATGATTGACGCCCAATGCTGGCATTACATGCTTGACACGTCTCAAATAATTTCTAACGGAGACGCCGATGCTGATATCGTAGGATCTGTTGTACTGCTGTGTCTAACTGTACACTGTCCTTAAGTTATCTTTATATCCTTTTACTCATAGTGAATAAAAAGGGTCCTAGCTGTGATACATTCATGGGCCGTTGCTGGTCGTTTATAGTAATGGTGATTCATATCGCCGCCACTTCAACTTCAGCAGATTCCATTCCAATGGCGAAGATAAAAACAGTCCGCAGACTATGCCAAAAAATGAATGATTGATAACTTAGCTAGCCCTTTTTTTATTCCCTTATTTGAACACGTAAATGAATCTAAAAATACGGATGTAAGTGTATTTTTTTCTATTTTGCATACGAGCCCTACCAATAAGTTGCTTTTAACTATTAAATATTTTATGGTTATTTTTTCCAACAGATAAAGATAATCCAATATAGCTTATGCTGTAATTTCACGGTGTATCTATGCGCCCTGTTTCCTATCAGGGTTCGATTCAACCCGTAGGCGTATTCATCAACGTGCCATCAGGGCTCCCTCCATCTTGTAACTTATGCGCTCAGCAGCCGTAACAAGCTTAGTTTTGTTGGTTTTTTTTGCCCCTACGTTTTTTACGATCAGTTTGCATTTGGTAAGACTCAAGAGGTATTTTCTGGACCTAATAATGGGTGCATGTCGATTTGACCTAGTCTAGGATCAACCTGTAAAGTGCACAATAAGCAAGCGAAAAATATGTTTGTTTATCAAAAAGTGAGATCTATCAATTTACCATCAATCAACCAAAGACTATCTAAAATATCTATAGAATAATCAGCACATACATGGTTAAACACGTGAGACGCACCCCCAAAAAAATGCTTCAGTAATGAAAGGGGGCCCACCCTGCATAGTTTAACGCCACCCATTAATACGCCATGTGTACGTTATAAAACTCCACGAAGATGAAGCCTATCAAGTAAAGTTATGCCTTGTTTTAGAACTGCAATCTGGAAACCTTTAAATCGTCTCTGTCAAAATGGAGTAAACGACGAATGTTGCGGAGCGTGAACTTGTCGTAAATGTCGAATGAGACGCTAAATAATTTCGAAATTTGTCCTATATATACCTGAAGAACCTGATTTGATACGATTTTATTAACGCATTACCTACTATACTATATGTCAAAGTTGGATATTGATTTGTTCATAGTAACCCAGCCCTTTTGGTTCACGCACTCTGATTAAAGCTGCGGTCGTCTTCGTACGTATCACATGCTTCTCTGACTCTAAACTCAATCTTAAAGTTCAGAGCTTGCATGTGGCCCGCTAAAGCCGTACCTACCGCTTAGCAGAATCTCTCTACTCAACACGCAGATTCGCTCTGGATACGCTCTTTTCACTGCGCGATCGATGTCAAGATGCTTGATTTGTGTCAGAGTTTTATTAACGTATTACACTTTATATAGGAAACCGTTGTGGCACTGATTATTGGCTACGTCCGGCTTCTACTGCAAATGTAAACAGATCGCCTATATGTTTCAGCTCTAAAAAGCGAATTTCATCGTTGTGTCGGTACTTTTAATGAGCACTGGCTCAGACGGCCGCCCCCCAGAACGAGGCCTATCCTAGGTGATGAACATGAAATTCTTGGATTCAGTAGGCAGCCAGGTCACTGCAGCATTGTCACAAAGACATAAAACTGGGTTATTAGTCAACTGGCCCGATGGTTATTCGACTAGACAATCGAAAAGCAATTAAGGTGCTTAATAACAGCGTTTCTGATACGAACCTATCTGAGGTCCTTGAGAGAGCGTTATATATGTACCACGATAGATGACGTTGTTACACTAGCAACATCGGCACATTTCATACGCGATAAAAGCACGCTTAACATTGTTCCATATATATGAAAACGGAACGATATTTCGTGTGTACCAATTGATTGCACGTTAATCTATCTGATCCGTTTTGTTACACGTTGAACTTGTGAGAGTTAGCCCATCAGCTAATTAGACAAACTGGGTTTGGTATGAAGAAAAAAAAAAGCACTATTTAAAAACGCTTTTAAATATAATACGTTTCGAAGATTGTAAGCTTACTATGATAAGTCGATTAGGTCGCATCAAAAAGAACGATCAACGCTTTGAGATATGTCTCAACGGTTCGAGTGTTGAAAGGTTATGGTTATGAGACGAGTAGCAACATTCTAAAATGCTGTTTGCTAACACGCTGTTCTAACATAAAACATTCGGTGTTTATAAGATACTATTTGTGACGAAAGTTTCCACAGAGGTGCAACGAAACGTTTTTCTAAAAATGCGTTGATTCGGAGTGTCAATGGGTTCTCCATTGGGGATGTACTGACTATGACTACCTTGGCGTATACTTAACAAACTATCTGCTCTTTATGTATACAAACTTATTTATAATCGATTGTGCTCAAAAATTAATTTCTGCATATCGTTAGACTGATACAGCATCTACATGTTGCCTACTTACACCAACGTTTCATTTTGCATGCCTTAACGAAATACACTAAAAACAAATACTCGAGAAACAATTTCGTTTTTAAATTTGACCAAACACACTTTTCTTTAGCCTGGTAACAAATGGTCGAGGCAGAGGTCAGGTTCGGAAAATACGCACCGAACTCTTCTTTGTTGGCCTCAGATCAGCCCAAACTAGAATTCTCACAGGTGTTCAAAAATTACTGTAGATGGCAAGAATAGATAGGTTTAGTTTTTCATCTAAGGTCACAGTGTTATGCCTACCTTATTTTTTGAGGTGAGTTGTGCACTCGAGTATAGGCGAGACAATTTATCTGCATTTCGTCATGAAAGTAACGTGTGTCACCTCCTAATGCATTCTTAAATGTTATCAGCAGTTACAAACCCGCATCCATATTTAGCAGTTCTCAAAATGATCGGCTGAAGGGCTGCAGCTCCTGCTGTCCCTATACGCTGCAGTGGCTAATGGCCGGCTACGATTAGTAGAACAGCATTTTTTGATCATCAGTGGCAGCGTCGCTGTTCGCTTCTTCGACACTCTCTCTCGTGCAGCGACTAGTCGAAGACAGCCTCCATAATGTGAACGCAGGATCGGCCTACTTCGTATTCTGCATCCGCCCCCGCCCACCTACCTTCGTCCTTTTCGATTTCATTCTTTCGCTAGGTCTGCCTGGCGCGCCGGGGTTGCTCTTTACACAGTTCACTCCTGCACGCTCGGTCACAGACTATGTCAACCAATGACGTGTCATCGAAACGTCGTCCCTTCTTCTGCGAGTTTCCCAATTTGCTCCGATATAAATATCGAAGAAAACCTAGGGACAGAGAAGTACTGCCACTGTCGGAAAGAAACGTTATTGGAATTTTCTGGATGTCGTTCTCTATGACCTATTTGGTGACGCCGCTTGTCAGCTATTATGAGCTCTGGCACGGCTGCTCCAGCAACAATCTGTGCTGTGCTATAGGAATGAATGTCTACTATTTACGAGAAGGAAGATGATCGTAGAAGGACAGAATTGGGGTCGAGTAGTCCAAGGAGAAGTATGTTTGGTAGAACAACTAAACGTATGTAGGTCAAGGTCCTTTCTTTGTATAGGGAAACGTCTATTTCGAAGCTAAGACTGCTGTAGACCTGTGGCCTGCCACGCAATGGCTCTAATGTCACCACAGGGTAAAGGCAATAGTAATCTATCCGGCGGTCAAACACTGGGCAGTAGAATTCGGCGACTAAAATTAGCTGGCCTAACGTTCGATTGCCGAGGATTCAACGGTGCAAACCAAGAACGAGAAACAGCTTCTCATAGGAGTTACACAGAATTGTTGTAGCTGAATGCTGTGCGTGAAAGATCCGCTAGTTAGAAATTAATATTATAAGTTCCTATGCGCCTTACAGACGTCAAGTTCAAGCCTAGTTGCAAGATAAATTCGATTTACAGGTTCATAGAGTCCTTGAAATTGATTTGTACTTTTTTTGATTCGAAATAACTGAATGAATTTATTTACTTCATCTTATTAGCCCATATTTAGCCAAGAACGCACATCCGATACGCGAACAACAATCTGTGTCCTATATTTCGATGGGTTTTATCTAACCCCATAGTGCTTTGAAAACTTTACTATCTGCCGTACATTGAACACAAAATAAATTATTATGAAGTGTATGTAGTCCTATGATATTGGAAAGAAGATTCCCGCATATTTCAAAAAAACTTCTTTTTCGCATTTTTAAAAGTTTTTTTTTTTTTTTTTTTATTTATGATACACCTTCCGAAAGTGCTTTTTCTGTCCTGTATAGTATCGTGAAGCTAACTTTAACTCGACAGACTCCTCAAAGGTAGATGTCCCCGGTAGAAAGAAGCACGTTTTCAACATTTTCTTAACACGTCCGTTTCTAACACATCGTCTGGAACATTTGTATTGTGTGTGGTAATGGCGGTGTCGCTGAAAGAACTGCCCAAGAGGCCATCTCATGAGCCCTCTGGACCCAACGGGGAAACACGGCTTCACATTGCGTGCCCAAATTTTTCCCAGTATCGAACTTCACGCGGACACAATAGTCGATTTTTGCGCAGAACTGTTTTGACTATAAGAAAAAGCATCTGTAGGTCAGCGTGAGCCAGGTATCGGATGGGTGGCTTCAGGAAAGGAGACAAGGCCTAGTATACAATCAAACCTGCATTCAAAAAGGTTATGCTTCTCGTTTGACGGGACTGCGAGGACCTGATTTACAGGAAATTGTTTCCTACGAACCAGACACTTAACCAGGCACTTTTATCTGACCCCATTGCATCGGGCCAAGTAGGCTATTTAAAGAAAGAGCTGGGGGTCTTCTAATGAGGTCAAATCATCTTACCCTAAGACACCGCGTGGCCACACACGGTACTCATCATCAAATCTGTGCTTCTGGAATTCAAATGAGAAGTTCTGTTGCATTCTTCTTTTTATGCCGTGAATTTTGTGCCCATTTACGAATGTGGTCTTCTTCTGTTCCCTGGGATCAGCTCAAGACTTAGTTAGGAATCTTTTCCGAGATTAAACTCGCTACTTTCTAAAAGGGCAGCATATACCATTGGTGGAGGTATGGCAGAAAGTCGTAAATCATAACGTGGGATGTGTAAAACAATGATTTATTGCTAAAGTAGTAAAAAAAATTGGCATTTTCTGTGCAGCAGAAAAACACGGAAATTAGGAACTGGAACTTCTGCTTATAATTTGAAAATTGGTAGTGTCATGTTCCGTTCCGCCGTTGCAACTGAAGACTTAAGTGCACAAGTGATCGCTAAACTTCATCTTAATGTGAGCACACAGATCTACAAAAATTGGTTAAAGTTATAGTTAACAGTATTTTTTGATGTTTTACCATAAAAAGTACAGATTCGCGTGAGTTAATTTTATTAATGGAATTATCGTAACGTCCTTCAAACAGAGCATCCTACCTAAATAAGGCAAACTAATCTTCCTAAAAGTGTTCTAACACTTTCTTGTCTTAGAAAACTTAGAAGCTCACAAGAAATAAATGTTTGCCCATGCATTACCCTCTTGCAGCTGCCAAATATACGTGTATTTGTGCAAAGTTAAAGTGCAAATCTCATAAAGCGCTTTTTTATTGTTAGACGAATTAAGTTTACGCAGAGCTTTATTCTAAATTTACTAAAATTTAGAGAGCTAAATTTACGTAATCTATACAGGGAGGACATCCAGTAGAACGGGCGAGCAAGGTGTTCCCGTGAACCTTATGGGCAGCGCTCGAAGTATTGTGGACGAATGACTTCTTGTCGTACCTAATTAGCCGTGCTTTTCTACGTTCTCGTTTTGACAAAATGTTTGTTTCAGATATGCTCAGGCGATCGAGTGGGCTACGACGGTTACTTTACAATATCATAAACTATGTGTTTTTATTGAAAGCGTATTATAATAATCATTATCATTGCGATATTACATTAGTACCAGTTAGAAATCCACGACTTCATCACTGTCATTGTCCCAATCCGCAGACGTTTCAAACGTATTAAAATCCACTTCAATATTGTACGTGAAACCGGGATCACCAGGCTTCAACGCGGCTTGCTCGAAGCTCTCCGCCATTAATTGTTTCTTCACCTAGAACGTAGTCGGCCATCATTAAATACATCGGTTCACTCGAGCGATGCCAGAGCAACAAGTGACACGAGCTCCCTGATAATAATACGCATTCCGCGAGAGGAAATTGAAGATAGTTAAAGAGTTCGGAAGAAAATTTGTGCTTCGTATATGATGAAGGCTCCGATTTTAGGCTTAACATCGTCATCATGACAAATAATATCGCCGCGCGTTGTGTCTAAACTGCATCTATTTCGATATAGAGATATATGTACGCTGCGTTCGTTTATTGGCTATCGACGTTGAACGACCATACGCTATTCAGATAATTAGCCAGAGGCATTTTATCATTAGCCCTACCTACAGTAAACAATAGACGTCCGTAGGAAGCAATAGGACGTAGGTAGAAGACATGGTCCGCCGCGAAACTTACGCCGCGGCAACAGATAGTACTGCTACACTTTACGTACCTGAAGAGTTTTGTCATCTAATACATTTAAATCTTCGTCAGGGTCCAGTGTGTACCTTTGGGTCGCCGTTCGGATCGAGTCAGCAACAGAGGCCCCGTTTCGGGTCTCCTTTAAAAGTTACACAGATTATGAATGATTTGTAAAGTTGTGCTTGTACTGGTTGACATACGACTGACTTAAAATAATAGATATATGTTAGTATGCTTTTTGTGATCGATCAATGCTACCTTATTACTTTACCCTAGCGGTTACAAATTGAATCAAATTTAAGTTCATCGATACTAAGTACCGCGAAAGTATTTTGATAATTTTTACATCTGGGAAGTTTTATGGGATAATAATGGGTGAAGTGAAATTTTCATACGATTACGTAATTATTGCACGATCGTTACGACTATAACGCACTAGCTAACCTCCTACCTGGTAGCATACCTGTACAATCGCAAGAAGTTTCTCCATTTGGAGTATTGCCAGATGACCTAGAATCGCATGCCTTTTACACAACTCGGCAGAAATTAACTACAATAACATTATCATAGATTAAATAATGAGTTAGATTTTCTAGAGATTTGCTAATTTTAGGTAAAATTGATATCAAATTTTCAGGTTTGTCTAGGCGGAAGTGGACTTTTCGCTTACCACTGATCATCGAAGCTCTTTTTTTTTTTTTGTTACATTGCAGAGGTCTAGAATTCGGAGATGCCCGTTCTAAAGGGATTACGTTGTTTTTTTTTTACATAAAAACGGATACTGTTCTGGTCTGACACGTAATCTAGATAGCATTACGATAGGGTCTTCGCAAATTTTGATACAATATTTGATATGAGAAACGCGACGCTGTATCAGCAATCATATTAAGCTGCAATAATAATGCATTCGTAATTACTTTAGATTAGATAACACATGTATGTACGAGTCAATATATATATATATACACCTATCATCAGCTAGTTTCTTATCTTTGGTTTCCCATTATGATGTTCCTACTATTCGATGGCCCTAATAATAGACCTCAGGGCTGACCGCATTTGACTTGATTGGTTAGTTAGGAGCTGCATCAGCGTGCTTCTCTAGAGAGGAAGTAACTCGAGTTGTTTTCTGACCTTAAGATCGCTGTTTCTGTAAAGGCCCCGAATCGGCATCGTCCTCTTTCGGTAGCGTCGTTTCGGCGAGGAAGTCAACTCCTGCTCATCCTTTTCATAGACAACTACCTAGACGCAGATTTGGCGGACAAGAAAAATAGCCTGGATTATTCTGGAAAAAAATAGAGCTGTGTAATTAAAGATAGCATAGGCGCGTAGTTAATATCTATTACTGTATGTTGCTCCCATCCAGTTAGATGAATCGTGTGAATTAAGGTCCTTGAAAAGGATTTGCCTAGTCCCTGCTAGTGAACGAGGCAAATAACACTATAACGAGAAAAATAATATTACACGTATGCTCGTTCCATTGCTTTTGCCAGTGCTAGACATTTAGAGTTATGTAGGCACACTTCGGCCGCGAATCCGATATGACGTTTACCGTCTGGTAGTTTCTCTACGAAAGTAGCTTACCTATTGTTGATGAATCTTTCTTCAGTCACTTGAATACCCAACTGAGAATTAAATTAGTCCATGTGTCTAAAATGAATGGTATCCAGGCTATCTCTAACGATTTCTGTGTATAGATATATTATGCGGTTATTTAAACGCAACCTGTGATATAAGTGGCTTTTTCTACGACCAGTTTCCCGACCACACTACAAAAGCCAGAGATGGTCTCAGCTTGCCACACGTAAAGATCAACACTCTTTACAATCTTCTACCTTTGTAAGAAAGCCCGCTGTTGTTTTTCACTGATTGCTGAAATTAAAGAGCAATATATGCATAGCTTCCTTTATTACACGCTAAAAACTATCAAATACACGTTACTACAGACACGAGCGTAGACTCGTACTTAAACGAGGCATCTTACACAGACATCCACATACACACACGTGTATACGTTTTGCACACGGCTAGTATACAAGAAGCATTTTCCAATTCAACTTACCAATTTTGGAGTTCCTGTAAGTATGAGGCCAACTTTCTTGACTTTATTTTTCTCAGTTTTACTTTTATCAGCCATAAAGCTGTCGGCGTTAGCCCCAGAGCACAAACAGTTCCATTCAGATTCTATAAACACAGAATGTAAATCGTCGTGGTCATGTCGCTGTGTCCAGTAGGTACCGTTTACCGACGAGGCTTCGTGTGTGAATCCGTTGTCATAGCAATCACCTCACCTCATCTATCCCCATGGCCTTTCCCAAACGCGAACAATGTCCTCGCCTTCGCAGAGGCCGAAGCCGGGTTTGCTGCTGACGCACCCAGTGCGTGCCAGCTAGACGCCAGCAGACTGGTAACTTGGACCAACGTCTATCGCATACGGTTACGAAGTTTGGATCGCAAATTGGCTTGTATTCAATGGGCATCTTACGTCCGTGGTGGCTTGAAGGAAAGCATTAATAAAGCTTTTGCCTTCGAAATTTTGCAACTCTAGCACATATAAGTGATCGTCTATGCGAAAAGGGATCTGTCGAAGTCTTATCAATACTTCTCACAACAAGATATAAGAGGAGCACTTTTATTTTTTAGGCAATTTTTATTAAAGCAAATCGTCATCGTCAATAATAAATAGCAACATCTACTGCAGAATCGTTAGCACAACACTCAGTTAATAACAGGGCTTTAACAGATCTAATAATATTGACTCGTTCGGCACCAATAGGATACTGCGCGCCATGAAAACTTAATCATTCGTTTATTGTCTAATACGATCGGGAACTTGTGTATAGTGTGAATGATATTTTCTCAAGCGAGAAAATTTGTTAGTTCGAGGTCTCAAACACCTTCGAGTTAATTTAACTTATTTTTTTGAAAAACCAGTTATAACGCGCGTACGAAATTAGATTTTGAACATTCGTTTCCGATACGAAACAGCTAATCGGTTATTTATGTTCGGTACTTTTTCTTCCACTGTAATTCCCGTTAACTTAGCAGTTCTGGATACGCATAACGCATCTGGATATGGTTTTTCAAAAGTCTTTAATCACCCCATCTCTGGAAGGTCTCTCTCCTATTAAATATTATGTGGTTAGCTGGCGTTTGGGCTATACATTTCATATTATTATAATTCGTTTACTAGCCCATAGAGCCTGCTGGATAACCAAGTTACACGGTCAACGTACACAACATCAAGGTAAACTAGCAATACAACTTATTACATCGTTGACACTTTGTCTTCGAATTTTGAACGTTGGTTCGTGATGGTCGACCTCAAGACCTATTCTAATACATTCAAAACATCTACCAAATCTAGCGTATAATGAGGGGGCCAACTCTGTCCACAATGACCCTTATAATGAACCCATCAATCTATGTGAATGCATGACTTTGGAGGTGGTTGAAGTTTCTAGTTGTTTTGTTTTCTAATTGATTGACATTGCGATAATATGAGAATACTAGTCGTTATCGGTTTAATACTATTACTGAACCTGTATTCGACATAAAGGTTTTCTAAGCCATCCAGTGTCCAGGGTTTCGCGAAGCCATGCTCGAAAATCCTCTGTTTCCAGAGCCTGAAGAAACTCCCCATAAAATGTCGACGCTCCGAAGCGGAAGCGTTGCTCACGAATTTCTTCAAAAAGTGCATTAGCTTCGTTAGTCATCGTTTCTTGATAACCTTCGATATGATATATTTGACAGTGGGACGTTAAACCACTAACGTGCTGTCGGGCGACGCCTCTTCGCCTCCGAAGGTCAGCCTTAGCGAACTTAATAAGCAAGTCGAGTTGGCTGCATTCCCCCAATAAGGTAGCTGTCTTCTGAATAGTTTTCTCGATGGCTGCGACTGTCTTCGTGATGGTGTCAGCCCGGCCCGTGATCTCCAGCGTAAATCCTGTAGCTTCACCACCGCAAGACCTCGGCAAGAAGCACGATGAGCCTTCATGAAGATGCAATTGTCGTTCGAGAAGATGGACCAGAATATCGATGAACACCTCGGCGCCGTTATGATCTTCAGAACTTTGATGATAGTACAATATCGTCGTGGCGTAACCGTCTTCATTGTTATCTGCCGCAGAACGATATTCGTTGACTAATCTTTCCTGTTTTAAGCGGTAAGGTTCTGGTCGTTTCACAGGATCCGTACTTGTCATTGTTTTTAGTATACGCGCGAGTGATATGGCGTCCTGAGCAGTGGCGTTGCCGTAAACAAAACATTCGATGTAGTTAGATTTTCGCATGTCAGCGAAAAGGCATTGTACCGAGTTAAGCTCGATGACTTCAGCGGCCGAGCGACACTCTCGGAGATCTAATTGGCCATCGTAAATCTGCGCGAACACATTCTCAGCATATGCTGCGTTGCTACTTCGAAGTTTGTAACTGTCCAAGACAGCCTCATGACATTCCTGAAACAGTTCGGCGGTAATTTTAAAGTCAGAAATTAGGGTGACAATTTCGTTAAAAAATCTAGGAAATTTATCGTTAAACCCCGCTATTGCAAGGGATATACCATACACCTTCGTTGATGCAGAAAACTCAAAGCCAGCATCGGCTGATTCTCGACTGCATAGGAGCCTTTCAATAGCTACGCAAGCGACCTCTGCTCGAGTAAAGCCTTTCGGTGATTCCGTCAGATCAGAGAACATGTGTACATAACAATACATCTTCGGCAGGCCAACTGATTTGAACTGATACCAGAGCCGATACGAGTTTCCTTTCTCGATAACGTTCGGATAATGCTCAAGATACATGAGCTCTTGCTGCACATCTAAACTTTGCGGCATAAGTTCATTGGGTGTATATGCTGAAAATTTGATCATGTCGTATAAATTAACTTCCGGCATGGTTGTTACCAATCCAAAATCTTCTTTCGATTTGACGTACGGAAAGATTGCCAGATCAAAATTGCCTTCGAGTATTGCACTGTAACTTCCATACAGAAGTTCCGATACCGTTCGACGAATGCATTGTTCGTCGAATGACAACATTAACCGGTCACCTAACAGACAATCTTTTGGAGCAAAACGTTGGACGGCAATACTCATCGGAGTTACCCGAGCCTGGGCCGTAACTTCGGCAAACTCATATTTCAAACGCAAAGCAGTTGCGGCTTCGTCGTAAATCCAGCTTTGAATTTCATTTTTGTGAATATGCATCAGATATTGAAGTAGCGCACTTAAGATTACGTTTCGTCGTTCACTGCCGAGAGCCGTCACCATAAAGACAACTCGATATAGCTTCCAGCGACGGTTACTTTCCAATTCATTTTCTGGAATGATGATCTAATATAACAACATGCAGAAAGATCAAAGTAAGTCAACTTGTCATCCTTGGTATTTATATTGGGACTGGTGATACCCAAGGGCAACTATTACGGGTCAAGAAGGGAGAGCCTTCATATACATTTAAACTATGTTTTCGAGCATTAGGCATAATTGCAGAAGGGAATAGCGTTCTGCAAATACGTTGTTTGTTCTGAACATATATATATA